TCTCACCCAGGACGGGCACCTCCCTCTCCTCTCACCCAGGACGGGCACCCTCCCTCTCTCTTCTCACCCAGGATGGGCACTCTCCCTCTTCTCACCCAGGACGGACACCTCCCTCTTCTCACCCAGGATGGGCACCCCCCCTCTCCTCTCACCCAGGACGGGCATCCTCCCACTCAGTCTGCTGCTCTAAACCCCAGCCTGGAGTCTCACAGCAGCTGACCCTCCTCGTATACCACACAAGTCCAGCTTCTGGACTGCCGCCACCATCTCCAGCACCCTGCCCCTCAGGCTGTAGTCCTTTCTCCAGCCTGCTTTCCTGTACAGCTTCTCTACTTTGGCTCCCCGTCTTCAGGACCGACCTGAACCGTCCATTTTCCCCCTTCGCCATCTCCTCCCTACAGGGGCCGTCATGTATCATCATCCACGAGGCTTGCCCCTACACTGCTTTGTAAACCCTAGGACACAGGAGGTTGAAGGCAGCAGGAAAGAAGCTGCCCGTTCTCACTTCCGTCATCAGTCCAGGAGGGCGACCGCAGGACTTCCCTCTCAGACCTCTCCATGTCCTACTCCCAGCTTGACTGAGAAAAGTGAGGCCCTCCAAAGAACCATGAAGATACCCCATCCACTGACCCCCAGGCAGCTGTCTGCCACACTCACGGAGTGCCCCAGCTCAGCCCTGCTCAGCACACTGCCTGTCAAGATGTTTTTCCCCTCACCTACATGAGTGCTAACTAGTCTTTTCTCCAGTGTGTGGTAAGATCCTCCCCGTCTGAAATAAAGACCCTCAGTCAAGTAAATCACTCCCTCCCACCAATCACCAATAGCTCTGCTGGAGACAGCACTGTTAGGCCTGTCCACACTGCCCTCCTGCGCCCCTAATCACTGGCTAAGACCTTCCTTCCACTGAACACAGGCACTCATTTCCTCAGTACTGTCCTCCTGCCTCGTACCTCCACCAGATTCTCCCCTCACATAAAAGTACCTCAGGTCTCCCAACCAGTCAACACCCGCCTGCAGAACCTGAGATCTGTTAGGCACTGGTGATGCCCAAATCTGCACTTTGGCCAAGGCTCTAAATGTGAACCTACAATAGCCACTGCCCCGACATGTGGGTGCTGTCTTGGGTTTGACAGGACCGGAACAGAGCTCCCACCTCTGCCAGCTCCGGTGTGTGCTCACCAACCCAGTGCTCAGGCCGGCCACCCCTCCATCTAGAGGCTGCCACGCCAGCAGGGGTCTCTCCTCGGCTCCCTCCACTCCTACAGTCACTTCCCACTACATGCCTCTTTCACCCTGGTTCCCCCAAAGCCTTATTCTGAAACGTAGTAGTAAAATGACCCTTCCCAAACAAACCAATGCTGTGTCACTCCTCAGTACAAGCCAAGTCCTGAGGATGGCTGCAACAGGCTTGACTACACTAGTGGTCTCGCTTTTAAATTATTTGAGCAAGTTTTTTGTTTTTTGTGACCGTCTTGCCTGGAGGACATCTCACTACCTGGCTGTCCTCCTCTGATTTCCTGACCGACCTCCTCCCTTCTCCTCTCACATCCTGCACCTAGGACTGAACCCATCAACACTCCTACTACACTCCCTTGATGGACTGACTGCCAGGCCAGGAGGAAGCAGGCGACTGACAGAAAGCTTCTGCTCAAACGGTCTGGCCCTCCAGGAGCACATCCAGAGCATATCCAAGCATATACAGAGGGGACACGTTTCAGGGGAGCTGTACTCCAGGGTAACTGTGCTTCAGGGGAGCTTTCTCAACAGCCCCTACCTCCAGTAACCCCATTCCTGTCATGGTAACACCAGAAGTTATCAGGTCACAATAACGGAGACAACCAGGCTCCTCAGCACCGGCAGATAGGAACTAAGGGGAACAGCCCAAGGAGGGGGCAGAGGACAGGGACACACACCACTGGCCATATTCTCCCCATGACACATTCCAAGCACTACCTCTAGGAGGGTGCTTCACCCTGAGAGCATGCTCGGGACCGTCCTCTCAACCACAAGACAAGACAGTAAGGGAAAATGTATCCAAGTAAAGGGAGGTAGACAAGGCAACCAAGCTCCTCACAAACCTGAGCCTGAAATGAGTCTGGCCACCAAGGGCTCCAGCCCAGCCCCAAAGCCTCCAGAGGCATAAGCCATGGGCTTCAATCAACTGGACAGACACACACCTTGAACAGGGGTCACCACGGTGCCTTTGAAGTGCGGGTTGATGTGGATGTTCTTGGGCTGCTGCGGGGTCACGGGGGGTGGGGCAAGCATCATCCTCGGAGCCTCCATTGGCGGGGGCATGTGAACGCCCTGTGGCGGGGAGGGGTGGTGGGGGTGCTGCAGGGGGAGCAGGGGCTGGAGCTGCTGCTGCTGGAACAGACTTCTGATTGGCTGCTGCTGGGGTGGGGGTGGGGGCGGGGGTGGGGGTGGCTGTGGAGGAGGGATTAGCCTCGGAGAGTGAGCCTATAAAACACAAAACAAGAGAAATTTATGGAAATCCACACTCATAAAAACAAAGGGAAGGAATTCACATGTATTATAAGCTTGTAATGCCAAATTTATCATCTTTAAGGAGCTATACCAAGGGGTTTCAATGCAACCACGTCAGTTTGTGAGAACAGTGCATCTTGACCAATGTCATCATTCCACTCCCAACTGTCTCAACCCCACCCATCACCCTCAAGTTGCCTAGTTCCATTTTTACATGGTACACTGAATATTGACTATAGTAACTATCCTTCCTCTCTCCACTAGTCTTCTAGCTTCCTGTTATTTATTTTGTTAAACTGTAGGTCAGCTGTTCAAAGGAGTTACACCATTGCACCCCTCCCCTGTGTATATTTTAGTCAATCTGTTTCTGTATACATGCATATGGCCCTGCCTATGTTTTCATGTATGATTTTAATTTAGAAATAATTTCCAGCCGGGCGCTGGTGGCTCACGCCTGTAATCCTAGCTACTCAGGAGGCTGAGATCTGAGGATCGCGGTTCAAAGCCAGCCCGGGCAGGAAAGACC